CCAAAAAAATTGAAATTTCGGGTCCAGACGCCTCTTGCCATTTCTTGGCAAGTAGGGGACGGGCTATTCCAAGAAGCGGTGCAAATTGAAGGTCTCATCAGCAGCTTCGCGAGCATATGCGTGTCATCGTCATCGGATGCTGCAGCGAGGAGCTAGACAAGTTGCTAGATTTGCCCAGATTGGCTATTTCTGCTCAAACTGTTTCAGGGCGGTATCGCGTCGGGCGGTGGGCTCTGCTGTAGCTTCTGCTCCCCGCTGTAGCTCCACAACGAGAGACTCCCACAGGATGACCAGGGTAGCGGCTTGAAGCTACGGGCTAGCCCTTCAATTCAAGCTACACAGCAAGCTCCACCTCTCAGTGGTAGTCCGGCTACAGCGTATCGCGCAATCTCGCTCTCAATCAGATGCTACGCTCTCAATCAGGCGAATATGTTGTTATCCCACGATGAACTTTTTAGAAGCCGATATCAAACCACCATTAGAACACCAGTCAGCGCTGACTAGTCTAGTCTAGTCTATGGTTTGATTTCGGCTTGAAAAGACGTCAGCCCAGCCTGACACAATACATGCGATAGATGGTTTAAAGGTCCCCATTGCCTCTGCTAGTGCTGCATCCATAAACACTGATAGACTAGTCTACATGAATAGTCAGCGCTGACTTGATTCCGGGTTTTAAGACGTCGGCGAAGCTTAAAGTTTGACACACTACTTACATTCTCCCCAATACCCCGGTATTTAGTCTATGTATGCATACATGTAGTCCCCGGCTAACATACGGTAGATATGTAGTTTTATTGTTTTCCCATTGCCCCGGCTAGTGGCGCGTCCACAAACACCAATATTTAGAATGAGGTAAACATTTCCAACTCAAGTATAGTTAGTATACAGAGCACAGATTTACTTGCCTCTGCTCGCTTATTTTATACCCGCCGTTTGTTTGTAAAACGGAGAAAGTTGTAACCGGCATCTATTTTTTTCATGCCGCAGTTCCCGCGATGCCGATCCGTCCCTCGTTCGCTTAGAACACACCCACACCCACCCCCTCGCTCTCCTCGTCCCCTCACACCGGCCGGCTCAGCAGAGCTCAATCCTAAGGTAAGCTCATCTGGATTCGAGTTGAAGAAAAAGTGCAGATTACATTAATTAGTGTAGGACTCTCCTCCTGCGGACGACACCTACCTGCGTTGCGATGTACATGTACTCTGTGATACGCCGTCTTCATGTAGTCTATGTATAGTCTAGACCTGCGAGAGGGAACCCTCTACGCCCGTTCATGGCATGATGCATAGATGACCAGAGGCGAAGGTTGGGCACTGATCGCAACCTGTGAAGGTTGTGGGTGAGGAGGTAGGGAGGACGGGATCGATCTTGACAAGATACCAGTGTGTGCGGTACCATATCACCAGAAACCAGAAACCTCAACCAGCCCTGCAATCAACGGTTGGAAAGTAGTTCCGAAGAAGAGACGCGTAATCCCGCACCATTTTCTGCCCCCCTTCTCCCCCCTCCACTCTCAACGCGTCCATCATCTCTCATAAATCGAAGTATGCCTGTACGTTATTTTTTTGGGTGCCTCTTCGGCAGTACGTACTGCTGTTGCCCTCGAGGCAATTTGTTTCTTTTCGGGGGCATCAGAACCGTTTGCATCGAAATTACGCCGCATTACGTTCTTTGACAAACACAAAGGAAACTCTCTGTCATGTGTGGTGTACGCATACCTCCGGAAAGAATCTTTTTTGAGCCGTGGATAGAAGATCGGGACTTATCATGCCGTGGAGTTGATGTGCTTCCTGTTTTCTTGAGTCATGATGCCGTCGAACGTCGAAATTCGACGGTAGTCGAAAGCGCTCTGCTGTATGTACAGTAGGTCGTGAGTAGACACAGGCTTCACGGTCAACGAGCGGAAGGGATGGCTGATGAACCCTTGTCGCGATAACAACCAAGGCAAGCACCGCAGGCGGCAAGTTTGGACAATGAAAATACAATAGTCTAGCTCCTTGTGTCACTTTCCTGTTGTGTGACCCCGGCTGATACTTCAGGTTTATTTGCCGAAAGGCCTGTAAACCGGCGTCAGAATAGATGGGACGAACACACACAGCAGCGATGTGTGTTTTATTATAAGCATCAACCGCGCTAACCGGCTGACCAATGAAAAGACGTCAGTCTTAGTGCGGTTGAAAACACAAAACACTTCTATCTACCATGAACTGGGACCCCGTGAGGGGGCAGCATGGGGGAGGCTAAGCTATCCTTCGGATCAAAAACAGAAACAGCAGCAACAGAAGAAAACTGCACCCGTCTACCAAGGCTATTACCTAGTACTCGAGTTCGTTTAGGAATACTTTCACCAGTATCCTCCTTGTTTTCGCT